ACTGCTTCTGTAGAGTTGTTAGCCTAAAATCCTAAAGAAACAAAGCATATGCAATCCTGTTTTTCTGCCCCCTTCCTGCTCCGTCATGTGTGATTTCTGAACTCATTGACTCACTTGTACCCATCAAACCCAGCTGAGAAATGAACAGAGGTCACCAACATGCTGGGTTCCTAATCAGCAGACAAATAGAGATGGAAGAAAGTGCCCCCACTAAGGAAAATTTGTCAGCATAACTCATCTGCTACCTGCTCAGCGAGCTGCCCATCAGCTGATCAGGACCCGCATGGTTTGAAACTTGTTGCAGCCACCACCCTTTCCTGCCCAGCTAACAGAAGAGCTGAGAGGATGCTACAGAGAGCAACGGTTCAGAGGTGGTATTAGGGGTGAGATTATAACTGACGCCAAAAAAAACCCCAAAAACCAAACCAGCAGTAATTTTCAGGCAGTAGGTGGGGATAAATAAGACAGGTGTAAGGCACAGAACTCTGTAGTACCTTACAGACTTCAGGAGGCCTGCTGCCCATCAAACACCATTTCATATTGAGTTCTCCAAGATTACAGATAGTTTGGGTACAGCAGAATGCTCTGCATTTCATTTTCATGATCACCATTAGCAGATCTACATGCCAGTGTAACAGATGTGGAAGGCAAGCTGCTGTTCATTATGCTTTTCATTACCAGAAGCGTCATTAATTTATCAGTGGATAGAAGATTTAAAACTAACCGAACTTTGTGGTTTTAAATTCCACTCTGAATAGGTAGACAAAGGAAAAATACATATTTTTAGATGTAAAGCTAGAGAAAGGGAAACAAACCAAAAAAAGTAGTGGAGCCCTGGAAAAATCTCTGGAAGCGAGGTGATAATTTAAATCACTTTGAAGCTGGACAAGACAGGTGAGGTAAGTTTGGTGGAAAGGTTTTGTGAAGGCCTGACTTTCACACGAGCTCAAGCAGGAAACACTCCAAACTCAGGACCTAAATCCTCACTAATCTTTATGGCCCAAGTGGCAGAATGCAAAATACCAGGGCTCCGTTCTGGAGCTGTGAGCCAGCATTCCTGCAGTACTAGATATCCCAAACTCACGTGTTAAATGAACTTGAGCTTGTTGAGTGTGGAGGCAAGTTATGCCACAATAGCTCAGGTTTAAACTGCCCGTGTGGACAAATTTATTAGCAGTTTTGAAGAGCATTCTGCTTCTTCCTTCTCTTCTTATTTTTAAAATCTTAGGACTGCACAAGAACGTCAAGTCTCTGGCTGTTTAAGGACCATGTGACTCCTCTGTACTTTGAACTCAGATAAACTTCTTACTGAATGAAGTCATGTGTAAAATGCTTTCCAACAGAGATTATTTTGAACCAAGCCGTACTAAGAAATGCAACAGAATTTCAACACTCATATTTCAGCAGCAAAAAAAGGAACCATTCTTGTACTGAGTGCAGTGCTTTGGGGGAAGCACCAGATCCCTTCACATAAACAGAACTACACTTGTACTAGACTATGGAAGTAGTTCATGTTTTAGTTCGGGGAATGAAAAAATCATCATACTTCCATATAATCACACATCAGTAAAAGTAGCTTTTGCCTAATCAATGCATGCAACTTTGCTTCCAAAAGTCATCTTCATAAATCTCAGTATCCCAAGTTTTAATCAGTAAAACCAGTATCAGGTCCAAACTGGCCACGTTGGGATGGATCAGAATTTCTGTATGTTTTTTAGTCTGAAGAGATACCAGGTTTGAGCTCATATTTGGATAAAAAAATGATCATTACACTTTTTTTCCCTAGAAGCAGAACATATGGCTTGTATCCTGGCTAACTTCCAACCTGAGTAATTACTACTGACCACATAATTTTCCCCCCTCAAAGCACTTTACAACTGATTAGTGCCAATAGGAGGTACTGGAGACAGCCATTAGCAGAGCCATCTTATAACAAACTACAGAACCAAACTAGGTACCTGATCAGGTAAAATTCTTCCTCCCCTGCCCCATCAAGACAAAAATTACCAAAAGGGAGAAGTCATTCTGAAAACCTTCATTTTTTATCTCCCAGCCTGAAACCATCTGAATTCCAAATTTCAGTCTTCTATAAACTACTAACTTCACCTAAGTCTGCAGCATTTACTACCTCTGCAGATACATCAGGATCACTGGGACAAATTAGGCACCCTGAAAGTCAGAAGCCACTTTAAGAATTTCCCCTGTACAGGATCTAAGCGACACTAAGCAGCAGAAATACCAGGAAAAGAGCCATTTAGACCAGCCTATATTTTAACCACTTGGTCAGATTTATAAACTACTTTGAAGATGACAAATGCTACTGAGCTGTTCAGTATTACTAAATAAAATTGTGCATGGGAACCAATTTTTTTCTGCGGGAGAGCTGAATGATGAGTGCTCCTATTAGCTGCTTAATCCACATGCATGTGTACATATACACACATCCATATGTACCTGCATATATACATCAGTTTAAGAGATTTTGTGTAACACATTTGCACCTTTTTTCCTACTTCAGAAAAAATCATGCAGAAAAAGGAAGAAAAAAACAACTTTCTGCTTTCTCATAAACCAGAAATGGGTCCATTCTGAGAACATGATGAGTGGTCAGCTTTCTTCCACTTTGCTCGACTTGCACTTTTTGTAAATATCCTTCCTCTTTGCACCCCCAAAATGATCAGTTATGGGACTGACGTACATGGCAACTGAGAAGCCTCTGCCATTTATATTCACAGATTCATTGGGATTCTGCTCCCCGGCCCTCTCTGCTCATCAGAGCTGGCAGAGGATTCGGACCATTGGGAAGGCTGGAGCCCGCAGAGGCAGAGCAAGCAGCCCTTGTCACTGCGAGCCCCAGCGGGCTCACGGGGACAGCGCTGGCAAAGGAGCCAAAGGCTGGTGCAGCGCACACAGAAATGAGCTCGGGTTGTGGGAACGCTGTTCCAATTAATCCATCAAACTGGGTAGTTTGGGATTTGACTCCCATCCTGTAAGGATGCGACACTATTAATTGAGAAGACTGCCTATTTGCTGGGGTTTGATCAGGCCAAAACACCAAACCAACAAACAAAAAAAGGCACGTTTTAGGGGGAGATGTAAAATTTTAGGTCTCTCTAGTGGCATCCCTTTAAACACACTGAAACAGAGTTCAAGCCACTGCCTCGATCGACAAGCATAAAATGTGATACATCTCTGGTGTGCAACATTGCCATCATGTGGCCATTCCAGCTCTGCAAAAATACCAGCAGGGACAGAAGGAATTGGAACCTTGCCCCAAATTTGCAGTTTTTTAAACTGTCTTTAATAATGTTGGCAACCTACAGGAGAACTGGAGAGGTGGTGATAACTCTCTCATAACGTCCCTCTACAAAGAAAAATACTCCCTTCTTCAGACCTGATGTTTTTTATGTTAGGTAGCAAACGCTTTTTTCATTTTCTGAGACACACCGCTGTCACAATTATGTTGCAATGCACAACTGGACATCAAAAATGTACAGAAACATCAAAAATGACAAATGGAGCATTCTTGATGTCAGGAAGCCAATCTTCAGAAGTAATCTGAATGAGAACAGCACAATGGCCTGGATCAGGAAAGAGCTCCAACACAGGAAAATATATGGGAATTGGCATAGAGTCAGGAGTGGAAAACAAAGCAAATGAATCAAATTAGTAATTTAAGAAGAAAATTAAATACTGACAGTCAGAGGGCAAAACAACGTGGAATGCAGAAGCAAGCTGTAATAAAATATGCAGATGGAAAAGTTGTACATAGTCGGAAAAGTAGTAACAGAATTAAACCAGATCCAGTGATGATGAGTGGCTCAATTAGAGCAGCAGTGAAGAAAAATAATTATCTGTCTCAGTGCTTGAGCCAAAAGTTGTTCATCTACACAAAACTTGTGTTTGCACTCATCTGGAACCCTGCCCAAGCAAAGCAGGCATGGTGTAGCTTACTCACGAAATGGCCCTCTCCTTGCTTGAATTACAGCCTCAATGGGGGACACACACAAACTTCTTAAAGGAGGGACAACATTGTTGCCTGCGTACGAGAGCAGAAGCACAACAGGAGCTTTCTGCCCAGCTGGCACAACAGATAGATACGCACAGAAATAACAATCACCTGGAAACACATTTAGTAACATATTCGTTAGAACAACATCCATCTTTCAGCTATAAAAACCTTGTATCAAAACAGCACTAGAGAAACAAAGGAAATGTAATAAGATAGGAAACAAATATTGACAGGCAAAGAACAGAAGCTTAACTATCACAGGTGGCTGGCCATACAAAAGAAAATCCTGTTTATATTCTCGTCTCCTAGCACTTGGCACCTGTAAACACCTAAAGGAGACCGCCTGCCATCACCATTACAACTGGAGCAAAGCTACCGCACTGGGGAAAGATCCTTCTACAGTTGAACTGCCAATATCAGGGAAGAAATAGTAACTTTCTTCTTCACCACCTAATTTTGAAAAGAAAGCTTGCAATATTCACTAAAGTGGAAACTCTGAACCAATCCCAAAAAGCCAGTGAAGGAAATCAGATAAATATTTACTAGTACCCTGAGCTGGAGCTGCTGAAATGGTAATTATACCTTTTTTTTGTGTTGGTATTTACTTGTTTGTTTTGCCAGATTGCATAAAGCTCATCTGCTAATCAATTCCTGAAAAGTATGGCTGGTTTTTTTATACAGTTTCTCCTGTTTAAGGTAAAAGGGCTGAAGCCAAAGAAATATTTTTGACTTGTGTTTTTAGCAAAAAGGCTAGTTTGTGAAAACTAAAAATGCCCCCAGGCTGCAAGACGGCCTTGTTCTCCATGTCATTGACCAAGTTTCTATATCCTGTCACAAGTTTCGGTACATTTTTTAAGAAACTACCCCCCATTATTTTTGCAGTTTAAATGCAAAACAAATTGAAGGGTTAAATTAAAATATTACTTTCCTTTTTCGTTAAGGACTGTCGGCTATATAGCACATAAACAGGGAGATTTTTCAACAGAACATGAATCCAGAAGAGAAGACAATTTTCCAAGAATATTTGACAAATCAGGGGACTGTGGTAAAGCCCTATTGCTGGCAGAGACAGAACCACATCTGTGCTAAGTGTCCCTACCACATACGGACTGGTGAAGAAGCGAGAGTCCCTTACACGGAATTTCAGAGGGTCTTTGGCTTGCCATACAGATCAACAGCAACTCTCCAAAACAAACACCTTCTCTTCTATGAATTGAGGAGTTTCTCAGGCACGGTAGTCCAAAAAGGCCATGCTACAAACTGTACTGACCAAGACAACCATCCAGAATCTATGCTGTTTGAGATGGGCGGTTATCTGGATGCAGTTACAGATGCCTATGAAAACATCAGACGCATCATCCTCTATTCAACTTACTCTCCTTGTAACGAGGCTTACCACTGCTGCATAAGTAAAATATACAACTTCTTGCTGAAATATCCAGAAATCACGCTCTGCATCTATTTCTCTCAGCTTTATCACACTGAGGATGGTTCCCCCACTGCCGCGTGGAACCGCGAAGCTTTGCGGAGCCTCTCCAGCCTGTGGCCTCGGGTGACTCTGCAGAGACTGCCTGCGGGGGCACAGCGTTACCTCCTCTGCAATTTTGTGTATGGCATCCCAGGGTCAACCCTTTATCACCCAACTTCACTGTCAAGAACCTTAGCAGGTCGACAAAATCCACATCAGGTTAACAACTTAACAGGAATGAAACCGTATTTTAGGAAGGTCTTTCCACAAGCAATGCAGGGAAAACCTGCTGCGCAGCAGAACTTAAAGGCTTTTTCTTTTCCTAGCCCGGCCTCCCAACAGCCTTTACAAGCGATGAAAGGCAGTCTGCTACCTCCGATGTCTCAAAGCCACTTGGTGCTTTTCCCAGGCATGTTTCTGCCCTTTCAGAGGGAACACCTATACCCCAGACCTAAAAATATCGTAAGGCATTTAAAAATGCCAAAGGAATAATTCAATGAAACTCATAATTCTGAAATGTTTCCAAGCGGCAGACACCTACTCTGAAGATGATACAAATCGAACTGCTTTCAGGCTGTAAAACTGAGATCACACATGGCAAAAAAACCCCACCAGTAAAGTCACCTCCTACAAAAGTTAACCCACAGAGTAACTGTGGATCTCAAATAACTGAGTATGAAGATAACATGCTTTTATTTTAGTCCTATACCTTTCAAACATAAACCCCTAGCAGTAAAACCAAAACCTCAGTATCTTCTGTGGTTATTAATAATAATAATAATAATAATTCTGTTAATTAATCCTCCTGCGAGTAATTTATTTGTTGCCCTCAAGCCAATTTCTACCAGAAAAATGTAAACAGTCCACAAGCTACAACCATAACTACAGCCGGATTGTAGCTTCCCAGCTGAGGCAACTTGCCCTCAAGCCAATTTCTACCAGAAAAATGTAAACAGTCCACAAGCTACAACCATAACTACAGCCGGATTGTAGCTTCCCAGCTGAGGCAACTTTGGTGGAACACATGACATATAGCCTAAATTCCTCCTGTATCAAGAAGGTGGTTCTGCAGGTAAGGCTGATATATGAATAAAGTTTTCCCACCAGCTGTTTTCTTAATAATTGGGGTTTTTATATTCATGTATATATATATATATATGTGTGTATGTATATATATTTTTTTTCTACGGCCGCTGCCTTCCATTAAGAGGAACCTCACAAAGCTGTGTGATTTTCTAATTAGTATGAAATATCTAATAAGATAATATAGATAACACAGATCTACACAGGCCAAGCATAATTTGAAAACCAAAAAAATGTTCCTATCATTTAAAGCAGTGTTTTCGCTTTGTGATTCAATATATGTTATTATATTAAAGGTTTTAAAGAACGGGGCAAGTGACGTCAAGAACATGTTCCCCAGCAAACATGGGTTCCTTCCCAGGTAATGTCTGTTGTGAACAAACACATCGGTTAATTTTGTAGAAGCCAGTGCTTCTGCTCCTCTCTTACTCTTCTTGTGGTCACAGCTATTATGTATCTGAGTGAAAAAAAGAGGCTGCTTCCCAGTGTGACCCTAAACACCCTTCACTTCAGCAGAGGTGACCCTGCTTGGAAACTCAAAACATTTTTGTGGGTCTCTTACGTGTAATGGAGGCAGAGATGTGCTAGAATCCACCAGAGCACTTACTTTTACAACGCCTAGGAGCTTTTTAGAAAAGCTTTCTGGAATTAGATCACACTTGTTCTGCACTGTCTGATAAAATGTTAGCTGACATGATCACAAGAAGCTGTCTGTGCTGCAGTGTCAGGGTGATTCTTTTGCCAAGAAACATAAGGCCAATGCTATTTTTTAACTCTTGGATTAACAAAGCAGTGTTTGAGCTCTTGCTTCCACTGTCACCAAGCTCAGAGCCAAACCTCGTACATCAATCCCAGGGCGCTATATTGGCGCTCCGTTGTGCGACCTCCGCTTCGTGCCCCCAACAGGCCTGTGAGAGGGCGGCGGGGCGCTGCCTTGCTCGCACCCATCTGAAAACCGGACCGCAGTTGATCCTAGGCGACACCGCGTACCATAGCCAGGTCCGCCGGGAGAGGTCGCTGCCGGGCTCTACCAAGTCTGCTCTGAGCCGAGGGCGGCCTGTGCTCACACTCCACCGCGCCCGTAACCGTGGCGCCCGTAACTGCGGCGCCCGTAACCGCGGCCACGCAGCTCGCAGACGACCAATGGGAGCTCGCCTTCCGCGCCGTTCAATCACTCCTCTCCC